GGGAAAATTTTTCTTGGAAGATCCTACAGGGATTGTCCAGCTGGAGCTTAGTAAAGCAATATCCTTTAGATGTCACTTAAGGGTTTAAGAAAATTTCAGGAAACAAATGCTGCAAAACTATATAATTTAGAAATTACTTTTTAATGGATACGTTTTGCTGCAAACTTACCCTTTCCCCATGCTAGTAACTGAGTTGCCATAGTTAAAAAATATTTCAGAAAGGACCTTTTTCCAGGTTTTAGAATTCACCTTTCGAGGCCAGTTCCTATTCCCATGAGATTTATCCTGCCAGCTACCAGATGATCACCTGAGCCTTGTACAGCCTGCAGTGTTTCTGGCCTTATTTATACCAAAACAAAACAAACTTTAGTTAGAAAACCCAGATTTTAAAGGTTTTTGAAACAAAACACGCTCCCATCTAACAAGAGTATCATTCCCTAACTGCTTTGCACCAGTTCCACAGCGGCTTGTACACTGAGTCATGCTTTGTTTTGGCTGAAGGTAAAGTAGATGTGTTTTGTTAATTCTTAATGTGTTATCTCTTCTCTTTGTACTGTTACAATAACACTATATTTTCTCTGGGGAGGGAGGGGGTGTCAAAAAAGTGAAAGATTTATGTCATTGTTTATGTTCGTGGGACTTGTCCCTGGACTGGATGGGTGATTAGAAACTCTAGATCCTGAACTTGGATGTCTTGATGCATCCAATTCCCATGAAGTCAACTGTATCTAGAGTTCCTCAGCATCTCTCAGGCTTGGGCCCTTGGTTTGTGTGGATAGGATGTTCATGAAAATAAACATAGTTCAATTTATAAATTGTAGAACAACTTAATAATTAAGTAAAACATTCAACAACATTGAAAATACTGTGTTTTGCTGACAGAGTCCCAGTCTTTCAGACACCTTGATGGGACTTATTAGAAAGGCACATTTTTACCAAGGATTTGTATGGCTAGGGACTCAGATGTTTTGTAGTAAACTTTGATGGTGGCATGATTTAGAAATTTGTTAGAAGGATTTTAATTCATAAATAGCTGTAACCCCAACATGCATTATAACAACATATATCGTATCACCATCTTATTTTATGGTAATGTACCAGTATAAATTTGTTTTAAAAACATAATATTCTAATGAAGTAAATGGAAGATAAAAGAAAGGATGGATGCTTGTCTAAATTGTCTTTCTGTTCTGTACTCTTGTTCTATACACAGAAGGAGCAATTTTAAAATAAGATACAGTGTAACTAAAGATACTAAAGAGTATTCCCATTTTTTAAAACTTTCTAGGTTGGTATGAGGATCAAGTATTTCATGTGAATGCTTTTGGATTTCCACCCACTGAGCCTTCGGCTACCACAAGGTATAAAACTGACTTTAAAATGACTTCATTCTGACTTCGCATTTTATCGTAGGAACACGGAGCTGGAAGGCACCTACTGTGCTGTCAAATCCAGTCCCCTGTGCTCACAGGCAGTCATTTACTCAGTGAATTTCCCCAAGCCCTCAAACACAGCTGCAAGTTACATTACCTGAAACAGCAAGAATACACTATAACATGCCATAGCTAAAAGCAGAGGAGATGAAGTCACTTGCAAATCATAGTGTCTGTTTACGTTTTTCTAGGTTTAATTTGGACTGCAGCTCTCAAATGTGGACGTCTGTAGTCCAAATTCAAATTGGCTCCAGTCTGAATTAGGCAATGTAAACTGTATTAATTAACATGTATATTCAGCATTGCTTTTAGAAAAAATACAGTCTAGGAAGTCAGATAAGCATTGCAAAAATCAGTCCCCTCAAGGGAAACTCAGTTGGGTTTTTATAATATAACACCCAAGGGTGTTGAGGGAACTGGCAGGGGTCACCGCGGAGCCCTCGGCCCGGCTGTACGAGCATTCGTGGTCATCTGGCCAGGTGCCGGGGGATTGGAAACTGGCTAATGTGGTCCCGATTTTCAAGAAAGGGAGGAAGGAGGACCCAAGTAACTGTAGGCCTGTAAGCCTCACCTCGGTGCTCGGGAAAATCTTGGAGAGAATCATCGAGCACATCTGCGGGGGGCCGGCAGGAGAGATCATGCTCATGGGCAATCAGCATGGGTTCATCAAAGGCAGTTCCTGCCTGACCAACCTGATTGCCTTTTATGACCAAGTAACTAAATCCTTGGATGACAGTGCCACTGTGGACCTAGTCTTTCTAGACTTTAAGAAGGCCTTTGACACTGTCTCTCACCCCATCCTCATCAATAAATGAAGCGACTGTGGCATTGATGTGATGCCTGCACAGTTGGATGGGTAAAAAATTGGCTGATGGGGCGCACCCAAAGAGTAGTGGTGGATGGGTTGTACTCAACCTGGTGAGATGTGAGTAGTGGGGTACCCCAGGGCTCAGTCCTCGGGCCTGCTCTGTTTAACATCTTCATCAGCGACTTGGACAAGGGGGTGGAAAGCACGCTGTCCAAGTTTGCTGATGACACTAAGATGTGGGGCGAGGTGGACACACTTGAAGGGAGAGAGAGGCTGCAACTAGATTGAGACAGACTACAAAAGTGGGCAGATGAGAATAGGATGGGGTTCAACGTAGACAAATGCAGGGTGCTGCACCTTGGGAGAAGGAATCCACAGCACACATACAGGCTGGGGAGTTCCCTTCTTGAAAGCACAGAGGCAGAAAGGGATCTCGGAGTCATTATTGACTCCAAGATGAACATGAGGCGCCAATGCCAGACTGCAGCCAGCAAGGTCAGCCGTACCTTGTCGTGCATCCAAAGGTGCATCTCAAGCCGGTCCAGAGAGGTGATCCTCCCCCTCTATGCGACTTTGGTCAGGCCACAGTTGGAGTACTGCGTCCAGTACTGGGCGCCGCACTTCAAAAGGGATGAGGCCAGCCTGGAGGGGGTTCAGAGGCAGGCCACCCGCTTGGTGAGAGGGCAGCAGGACAGGCCCTACGAGGAGAGACTGAGGGACCTGAACCTGTTCAGCCTCAGCAAGAGGAGGCTGAGGGGGGACCTGGTGGCTGCCTACACACTCATCAGGGGAAATCAACAGCAAATAGGCAGAGCCCTTTTCTGCCCAGCACCACCTGGGGTGATGAGGAACAATGGTAATAAGCTGATGGAGAATAGGTTTAGGTTAGAGATCAGGAGGCAATATTTTAGAGTTAGGGTGGCCAAAATCTGGAACCAACTTCCCAGGGAAGTGGTCCTCACCCCTACCTTGGGCAAATTCAAGAGGAGGTTGGACAATCACCTGTCTGGGGTCTTGTGAACCCAGCATTAATTCCTGCCTGTGGCAGGGGGTCAGGCTAGATGATCTGTTCAGGTCCCTCCTGACCCTAGCTACTGTGAAACTGAGGCTATGAGGCACAAAGTAACACCTTCACAAAGTCAAATGTGCCAACACCACCTCACCCTGATTAAGTATCAGGTCAGTCGCACAGCACTGAAGATAACTACAGTATAGCAGTGCTTAAACAGGCTGATTATCACCTCCTAATTACTTCCAACCTGCATAAGATCACACACACAGGCTGGATTTGTTAAGAGGCTGTCAGTGATTGTCTGTTAACCCTTAATTTGAATTGAAATTTGATTTTAACTGTGTGATACAAATCAGTTAACACAGTTTAGAATGCTGAACATTTCTACAGATGGCCAGTATTGTTACTTGTATAGCATTCGATCATGTGTCTGTCTGTCTTTTAAAAATAAAAATTGGAAAGCAAAGCTGGATTTGCTGGTCCATTTGGATCTGACTGGAAGTCTGTTGC